GTTCATTTTTATCCTTGAACAGAAATATTGTGATGTAAGGCTTTTACAACAACACACACCCTGTGCTACACTCTTGTACACACACACACACACCTCCAGATTAGCATGTGACAAGCTTCAAAAGCAAACTGCGTACTCTCAGTTTGACTCAGTAGGAGCCTGAGTGAGTGTCAATCCTGAGAGTGAAAGAAACTCATTTGCTTGGTTGCCATTCACACTCAGGGTCAATGCAGGTACTTCAAACAAATCATCCGTCAGTCGAGCCTTACAACTCTTGGTCAAAACTGTCTTCAAACTAATTCAAATTCAAATTTTTTATTTGTCACATACACAGTCATACACAGTACGATATGCAGTGAAATGCTTGGACAACTGCTCGTGACCTAAAGAAAAAAAGAGAAGGCTATGAATAAGATAGGAAATAAATATGAAAATTAAAAAGGGTAAATTTAACCAGGAAGGAATAAAATAAAATATAAAAATTAAACTATATCGAGATCCTTTCTTGGAGTGAAGTAATAAGTCTCATTGAATCAAGAACATCTATGTATGCCCTGAAATAAATGCTGTGGATTAGAGAAAAACCTCCAAACGCCTTCAACAGGCTGAGGTGGAGGTTTATGAATATTTTGCTGTTTTTCTTGTGTCTAATATGTTAGAATTACAGAAGCTCCAGAGATCTTTCCGGTTTTTGCACTCACACGAGGATCCAGCCACCGGCTTGTCTTTTCCCTCCAACAGGTCGATGTAGACCAGAGCCGCCTGCTCCATTTGCTCTTGTAAACTACAGCAAACAGAAAAGATGTCAGCAGCTACATCCTGAAAGTCAAGCCACCCTGTGCCTGACTAACGAGAACAATTCTATGTCAACACTCAACTTCCACTCAAGGGCAGAAAACGTGGCTCAGAATTTGTGGCCTACTGAAAATATTGTGACATGACCGATGAGAAGTGAAAGACTTGGGTCAGAAGTTTTAGTCATTTCAGTTGCTACGTCATCTCTCACCTCAGTCTGTTATCTCTCTTGACTCCAAGCAAGGTGGTGAGCTGGCTCAGACTATGTAGCTGCTGGCCTGGAACGCATGGTGCCTGATTGTGGCCGGCCAGCAGGTCTCTCCTGACGTGCTCCTTCTGCAGGCTAGCAAGGAGGTGCTGGACCTGCAGTACAGTGGCCAGACGTCGCCTCTCTTCCTCCACCTTGGCTACTTGCTCCTTCTTCATGGCTTTCCTCTGGGCCTTAATCAGCTGCAGGGGAAGATTAAAGGAGTTTTCAAATTCTACAGCTAGTTTTCTGACTTGTGACTATACAACAGTTTAATTTATATAATGCATATGAAGTCATGAACGCGCATTTATTTACAAAGTACAGTTCAAGTGCAGTTTTAGACCAGATCGACATCCAAACAAAAGGAAAGACGACTATAACAGATGAACTCTGGCAATCTTTTCTCCGATATGTGCCAGGCATGGGCTCCTTCAATTCAAGGTCCTACACCGATTACACATCTCCAAGGAAAAGTTAGCCAAGTTCTATCCAGGAGCTGACCCTCTGTGTAACAGATGTAAAGCAGAAACAGGTTCGCTCCTTCATACCTTTTGGACATGCCCCAATCTTCATAACTATTGGGTGTCTATATTTAACACTCTGTCAGAGATGTATAACGTTAAATATGATCTTCTGCTCTAACGGCTATCTTTGGGGTGATACCTCAAGACATCACGTTGCCAAAATACTATTCGAATTCTATTGCCTTTGCTTCACTTATCGCAAGGCGCCTTATACTTTTAAGATGGAAGCAGGAAGCTCCTCCCACACATGAACAGTGGCTTGCAGAGCTCATGAG